TGCTTTTCAACATGGGCAGAAGGACTGTGAAGTACTGACACTTGTGATTATTGCTATTGTGGTGCTATTTGGGGCCTAGGAAGAGTTCAGGCATCTGGAAACGCATTATCTTCACATTTGGCAAGATGAACATTTGGAGGAGAGAGTACTAAAAACTTGCTTTTCATGATCACAGGCTCATTAAATCACTGAGCACTTTCCGTACTGCGAGCGCGCAGCCATGGACTATTTTGAGGCTTCACTTGTTCTTCTGCCAAGTCCTAGTCTCCAGAGCAGCTTTATTTTTGAGTGGGAACTGAGGCCTTTTGGACAATGTCAAGCATCATCCATTGCATCTGCCAGTTTGTGGCTGGATTGCGCAACCCTCACCCAGCCAATGGGGCTAAGTTTAGATGTGCCTCGCAGGGCGAGTGTGGGACAGCTTTGCTTAAGCACAGGCTGGAGGAGCAGTCCCAAGCATGAGGTTCAGTTGTCTAAGAATTGAGTACAACCATGAGGAAGGCTCATGTGATGTAGCCCTTTCTTTGAGTTCTGTGTGGTAATGACGTGAGCTTTGCTGTAGGCCAGGGTTTATAATGCGCTCAGTTCCTAAACCCCTTGTGTTTCTCAGCAGCAGAACCTCACCCCTTGTGTGGTTTCAGCACACTGCCCCAGCAAAGGGGCTTTCTCCTCTTTTCTTGTGGAGTCATCTCTTTGCCACTGTGCTTCTCACACCTTTGCTGGATGCAGACTTTGTTTCCTTTAATGAACTTACTCTTAGCTCAGTAGAGTACACATGAGATACCACCATTCCCAGGCAGCCATGCTGCTGCCTAAGCAGCCGTGTTCTTCCTGCAGCATTTGATGGAGGGTGTTGGGGCTTTTTTTTCCCTAGTAAGGCCTAAAGCTGCTCTGAAATGCATTTGCTGCTTGGACTGGAGTTTTATGTCCTGAGAAAGGCTGAAATCCTGACAGTCAGCAGTAAAACCCTGAGGTGAGGGGAGGGTGAAGGGCAAGGAGCTGCTTTATAACCTGGACAAAACTGGGAATATGTGGGTGCAGCACATCCAGAAAGCACAAATCCCTGCCTCGCTGCTCACTGAGGAGGATGCAGAAGCTCGATGCACTCGCTCCCCTCTTGTCCCCCACTTTTCAGCTCCGAGTGAAGCTGTGCTGCCTGAGGCGAGAGCGCATCCATCCCTCTGCATCCCCAGAGGGACTTTACCAGGGCTTGTGCCTGGGAGGGATTAGGCTGGAGCGTGGTGAAAGGAAGGAGGGAAACCTGAGAGGAAGCTGAGTGCAGATGTGATGTGTGCGGGAGAGTCAGCACTGAACACAGAGTTTCTAATGTGGACGAAAGCACCGAGATCAGATCCTGGTGTTTGCCTGGTTAATTCAGAGGAAGGTTCCACATGGATGTGGGTATGCGGTGAAGGAGGCTCTTCCTCTGCTGCTGCTGCCAGCTTTGGCTCAGTTCATCTTCAGTGGGGCTTTGCCTGGTGGGAATAAAGCTCCAGCACCTTTCCTGAGGTCAGTGCTCACCTCACAGTTGCAGCCAATAGGGCATCCATGGTATTTCTCTCTGGCCATAGGACCTGGCTGTATCATGTTGCTAACAGGAACCTTGGCATGTAAGAAGTGTGGATGTGAGCCACTGCTGCAGCCCAGGAATGAGGGGAGATAGGCCAGGGCCACAGATTTGATCTTAGAGGCCTTTTCCATCCTAAATGGCTCTGTCATTTGTCTGGCTCTCTGCAACTCATGAGAGGAGGTTTGCACATCCTTAAGTTATCCTAAGGGAGTTCCTGCTTGCAGTCTAGTTTGAGATACACTTTTTCCTCTCACTGCTGTCATTTGTTGTCAGCGTTCCTAACAGATTGCTTGGTGCTGCTCACTGAGCCCCAGAGCACGGAGTTTATTCCTGGGAGCAGGAGCTTACAGATGTCTTTGTCAAGGTGCCACGTGTCAGCAGCTCAGTACCTCCAGGTGCCACCGCATCCATCGTCCTCCACATGGTGCCTTTTCCCACCATCAGCAGGAGCAGTCTTCACTCTGTGCCTGGCTCACTGCTGATCTGCAGTGCTGCTGACACTTCCATGCCTGCCTGGCACTGCTTAATGGAAACTCAGCTACAGTGAGAGCAGAGAGAGAGAAAATGCTCAGGATGAAAAGCGGGAGAGAGATAACACCCTCTGTACACAGCAAGAGGCAGTTTCGAGGGAGGGAGCCTTGCAGATCCTTATGGAAACCTGCTCCAGGTCTGGAGGGACGTGCACAGAGAAATGCTTGAGAACTGGCTGCGGGGAGGCACCATGTTCCAGTTGGAAATGGAGACTGGCAAGGATTGAGGCAGGATACGAGATGATAGCAGCAGGGCTTGGGCTGGAAAGGAGTTTGCATGTGGAAGCCAAGAGCCCTGCAAACCAAAGGGCCTCTTATCACACTGCCTTCTCCAGTGAGAGGTGAGATGAGGAGGCTGTGGAGCAGGGCTGGCACTGCCTGCTCAAGTGGTACATTGTTCCCATTGTTCTGCCTAGCTGGGATCTAGGCTCCATCACACTGATTTTGAATTTAAAAGAGCTCTGGCCATGCCATTTACTGCCATTGCATTTGAATTCCATTGCATTTGAATCACACCATGAAACCCAAACAGCTGATGCTAGGGATGTCCTTAACCCAGGCACAACCTTAACAGCTTGTACTGTACCACTTGGGCAGGGGCAAGGTGAGGAGGGGCTTGGGGGGGACACAAGAGGTGAACTCAGAAGCTGTGATGTGCTCCCTGTGGCAGGTGCCTTGGTGTGCTCATTTTCCTCAGTACTGAAATGAAGGGGTGCAGGTGTGCGTGCACACGGAGCTTTCCCAGTCGGTGCTGGGCTTCTGTTCACCACTGCATGAATAACAGGGAATAATGTCACTGGGAGAAAGGATGCTGTTTAAATGACTCGTGCCAGACTTTGTTTCAGTTGCTACAACTGATGGCCAGGCACCAACATACAGCAACATCCTTGTTGCAGATGAAGGCACACCCTGAGCTCTGTTTGTGTGATGGCATCGGGCTGGGAGGTAGTGAGGAAGAGGAATTTTTGTCCATGAATTGGAGCACATGTTAAAAATCACAAGGAGAAAGCGAGGAGGTTGATGCTGAAGGGCTTATAGCTCCCAGGGCTGGGCAGAGCAGGGGAACACAGGGTGATGACAACTCCAGGCTTTCTGAACGAGCTGTACTAACAAGATGTGTCGGGGAAGCAGGAGGCCAATGGATTAGATATCTAAGAAATGAAAAAAGCAAAGAGGAAAGGAAAGGGAAGAAAGGAAGGAGAGGAACTAAAAGGGAGGAAAGGAAAAGAAGAAAATGAAAAAAAAAAGGGAAGAAATACATGGATTTGTAAGTTTAAAGCTACATGTTGGTCAGTCCAGTGCTCCCCTATGGGGAAGAGGAGGCTGCATGGGACTTGGCTGGGTCCATTCAGACGCACTGCACAGGGTGCCAGGGATGGTCTTTGAACCCAAACCAGTCTGTGATGCTGTGATTCTGCACCCAGCAAGAGGGGCACAGGGACAGGGATGTAAACCAGGAAGGCAGGTGGAGAACATGGCTTCAGGCATCGCCTCAGCCTGGCTGGCCATGGGGACACAGGGTTGCAGGATGCAACCTGCATGTTGGAACCATGCAACATGGTCCTGCAACCTATCAGCCATACCAGGCTGCTCTTTGAGGCCCACTGTGTGTCAGTCTCTCTAGGACTAAATCTCAACCACTCATTGCTTCTGCAGAGCAGGGTGGTGGTGTCACACGTCCAGTGCAGCAGTGTGGGTGCACCCAGCACCCATGTTGTGCAGGGTGCCCGGGGTGCTGCAGCAGACACCGGTCTCTGCACCGCGTTCTCTTTGCTCACTCCTGGCTTTGTTCACCTTGTGGAGCCCTCAGCCTTTCTGTTCCTGTCAGGCCCTGATGAAATGTCTTACACTGGCATGTTTGAAATGCTGTCCCCAGTGCACCATCCCCTTCCCACCACCTCAGTCTAATCCATCACTGGCTTTAGCACTGATTCTCAGGAGCCAAACAACAACAGCGCTTCTGCAAGAGCAGCTTTAAACTGATATGAGTGTGAGTCAAGAGGAACAATTAAAAAGCACACTTTAAAACCAGTGTGTTTTACTCAGACAAGCAGTGCTCTGTCATCAGTACTGCCTTCATTTGCTAAGTCATTTTACAGCCCCCTTGGCCTGCAATCTGCCCGCTGTTAGCTCCGAGTGATGCGCTAGACCAGGCAGGGACAGTGACCCTGAGCCGCTTGCTGGCTGGTTCTTTATGCTTAGCTTCACTTGAAGGGTCTGGGCCGCAGTGTTTGGACAGAAACACTGCAGAGACAGGGTTATTTATTGAGCCCGTCTGTTGCCATTGGCAGGGGGATAGCCCATCACAATATTGCTGTTGGTCTTTAGACTCTTTGCACACCTGGCAGCGGCTGTACGTGGTAGCAGATCAAAGTGAACAGCCCCTGCTGTTACCAACAGCTCATGCTAGTTTGGTGCAGGTATAAATAACCCCTGTCACTGAAGCAGTGCCCTTTTTGAGCTGCCCTCTCTGAATTTCTCATCCTCCAGCCTGGGAACAGCACAGGAATTGCAGCCCAGGGGGTGGAATTCAAACTGCATTTCTACAGCGGTTTATATTATCCTTTCTCTTCCAGCAGAAGCTTTCTGTTGGTGTTTGGTGCAGAATAAGCATGACTGGGTATTGCTAACATGCCTTTTAATGAAAAGATGAAAGAATTCCAGAGTCGGGGCAAAGCCAGCGCTGAGCAGTCTCCACATTGCTCTTCTCCGGGGTTCTTACCTCTGGCTTTCTGGGGACCTGTTATTCCCTAACTGCAAACCATTCCCGGTAGCTCCTGACCCCACAAACTCAAAATGGGTCTGTCTGGGGAGCGTGGAGGAACACTTCAACAGTGAACGTGGGCTTTGGTGCGTGCTGCCTCTTCAGTATGTGCTCTGATTTCTTCTTCTCCCCACAGGAGAGAGCCTGAACTCAGTCCAGTATCCTGTGTGCTTGTAACTCAGCAGGGTCAGCATGGCCAAGGTGCAAGAAGTGTATGGGAAAACCCAACCCTTTGGTTCCCATTGCCAAGTAAGTGTTGTTATTCCCCACTCCAGTATAAACCCATGTTGTATCCACACACAACAGCCAACCTGCTTCTCCCTGTCCAGGGATGTCATTAACAGAGCCCCTGGGTGGCACTAAGTTATGTGTGAGGCTGAAACCACTCATCTGTCATCAAGCAACAAAATCAAACTTGTTTAATGGTACATCCAGACAGTAAAAATCAGGCCAGTAACTGCACCAGCAACACGGATAACAGCAGCATGACACATCCTGGCTGCACGCACAGCAGGCCCCACGCCGTTAGTCAGCCCCTGCTCTGCAGCACAAAGTTCTTGCTCTTCTCCATCCGTTTCCTTTTGCTCCCAGTGGTCCTGCCCACACCTGACGAGCAACTGGAATCCAGGCTGGGGCAGGTATCCTGCCTGGATACGTACCTTGTGTGTCAAAGCCCCTTTAGCATCACCTTTGCAGTCACCTTTACTGTCACCAGCAAACAGCGGATGCCTTCAGGTGGTGAGTCGGCTTTGTGGGAGCCTGCACACTCAATGTCCTTAGGGAATGGGCACAAACCATCTTGGGAGCAGAACCAGAGACCACATCACCCATGTCAGCTCGGCTACGAGTATATACTGTGTTTGCTCCTATTTTCTTTTCCTGGTCCAAAGACTCTGGATTTCCTTTGTATAGCGTGAAACCACCGCAGCAGCAGGGCTGGCCAGGGACTCCTCTCTTGCTGCCCCGTATCTGTGGGGGAGTGAAACTTTGAGGAAATCAGTGCATTGGTCACATATTCCCTCACAAAATCAGCCTGCAGGGTAAGGGCTCTGCTAAGGCTTGTGGCAGTGTTACAGCTCCCCTTGGCAGCACGAGAGATTAACCCTCCCTCTTCCTGACCCACACAGCACCCACCCATGGAACAGGCACCAGTGCTTTTGCCTATTGGAGCTGGACTCTTGGTGACTGCCACAGGCTTTTGTGTCACTTACTTGGGTGTCCCCTGGGAGTGCTGGCCATGGACACCAACACCGCAGTGTTTCAGCCAAACTGAAAGCTAAATTCCACTTTAAGATGTGCTAAAATAACTTAGACTCCAAAGAAGCCCTGCACAGGGGTGATTGATGGTGGAAAAGCTTTCCTATGTCCAGGTCAGCCAGCATCAAATTGATATTAAACCGACCTGGGCAATATGGCACAACAAAGCTCTGCTCAGCCCATTCATCCTGACAGGCCAGCTCTTGCCTGGGTGAAGAAAGAGCCGGTGACAAAGGACTTGCTGAGATAACAGCAGTGACTTCATGCTGTAAATGACTTATTTGTTCAAACCTGCTGCACTCTTCACACTTCTGGAGTGGTCTGCAGTGAATGTGATTTGATACCAGCCCAGCCTAGATAAAACCTGCCTTAAAATCGCTGTCTTTAGGAGGAAGAGGTAAACTATTGCCAAGCATTTCCAGTCTGGATCAGTCCGGTCACTAACCGCTTGGATCAAGCACTGCTTTCAGTTACATCTGCAATAAGTAAATCTGTGGTAGGTCACTGGGGTTGTTCCAGTATATGTCAGTGCAGACAACAGTCAGGAATGGGATTCTTACTCTTATTCACCTCAGTTACACAGTTCTAGGGAAAAACCCCACTGATTCAAAGGAGTCTCTCATGGGTTCCGTACAGGTAAGAGGGGCCCTGACCCTGTGGTTGGATAATGGCCATTACTTTTTGGCATCACCCCCCACCATGCTGTGGGTGAGGGCCTCCTGCTCTCTGATGTCCTGCAAACCTGCAACGGCTTGAATGCAAACCTGCACACGTTCTGGGTCATTGCTGCATGAAAGTGAGCTGAGAAGGGAAGCAAATGTACCAACATATCCTCTTATTGCTTCTCCAGATGGAAAACCACACCAAACCTCTCCCGCAGAGAGCTTCTCCTGCCTTCCAGGAGCAGCCAGGAAGCCCCTTGGAGCCTCAATTCTCAGAGGTAATTTATGAACCAATTTAATACCATGGTTTGTTCTGAAAAACCCAGATCCTTGCAAAACCATGCGTGTGTTCCCCTCGAGCTGTACAATGGGTGTAACAGCCAGGCAGGCTCTAGCTGCACCCTTACAGCTCTCTGCTGATAGAGCAGAAGGGCAGAACATGCGAGCACAGCCCTGTGTGTGCACAGCCTCATCTCCACTCGGAACGCGGTCACCGGCAGAGGCAGCCAGCACTGACGGTGCCTCGGCCCAAGCACTTCTCCAAGCACTGATGTTGTCTTTCTGAGGCAAAAGTCTCTGCAAGGGTTTAACTTCTTTACATCCTCTCCTAAATGAAAAACACCATCCCCACAGTGGCCGTGTCTTGGGGACCATTTGTTGCTGCTGTAACCAGTAATGAAAGAAGAGGAAAGCGCTCTGTGGCTCTCAGACAACGTACAGACCGGCTTTGGCTGGTGTGTGGACAGTGAGATGCTGGAGGGAGGTTTGGGAATGGTTGGAATGGGGGGAACGTTTTTGAGCCATCGCTGCTGCTCAGCCCAGCCTGCAGAAAGGGCCGAGCAGAGAGGCCCTGTCAAACCTGCAAGAGGTGACAAATTACTGTGGCTCTGAAATGAGAAAGGTGCAAATCTTCACCAGGATGCATTTTGCCTGGAGTGAGCTGGAAAAAAAGAGGATGTGAACATTAAAAGCATTTAAGAAACACTGTGTAGCTCGTTTCCATAGCAAAGGTAAGGGGTTCAGACAAATTAACACGTTCGGGTTTGGGGAGGTTATACTTGCAGTTAAACAGCTCCTGTCCTTCCTTGGCAGGGAAGGATTGTGAAACCCTCGATGGACAGCGCTTAGAAACGCTCTTGAAAATGCCGGTTATTCCTGCTGCATCCCCAGCAACGTGCAATTCCAGTTTGCTCTTTAGAACCCCAGCACAGATGGTGCATTACACGCTTTGGAGGATGCTGACCTCCTGCTGTACTTAGTGCAAAACCTGTGTGCTTCTTAGCTACAGAATAACAAGAAAATCTATTGTTTGGGAAGACTGGGATCTGTAATCCCAGCACCATCAGTCAGATTGAAAGCCTGATTCCTTAAAAAGCAGAAGCTCAGCTGTGATACCACGGATATACACACACAGATAACACAGAGATGGCTTTGACGTACAGAGTCATTCATACAATATTCCAGTCATGTCACAGACATATCAGCCTAAAAGCTTTACCCCTTCTATTGCAGTTCCCAAGCGGAGCCAGGGCCTGGCTCTGCCCATGGAGGCTTGCCCACAGATGCTGCACAACAGCCACACAGCCGGACAACCACACAGGCAGCAGGTGAAGCACCACGACAGACCAACAACAGGCACAGTAACACAGATGGTAAGTTAAAGTCATTTCCCTACCCATCACCATTCATTGAGGACTGAATTCTGCACTTTGCTGTGAATGGATAACAGTTTTGGTGAAAAATGGTGGACTTGAGCCTGTGTTGAAGTGGGTTTCTAACCAAGGGCTCAGGCACCAGCTGGTGTGTCCCTGCTGCTACCTTTTTGGTTGTTTTGGACTGTTACCCCAAATTGATGGCCTGATGAACCTAGTGCCCTGAGACAAATGGGTTTGAAACTGGGTTTCTTTGGTTTTGGTTTTATGCAACCAAAGTTCTTAGTAGCTGAATGCTGGGTGGCTGGAGAGGGTTAAAACCAAGCAAACACTGTTATTAAATGACATACCTAAGGTGACTGTCAGCCACAGGCTGCCGGGGCCTTTGTGCCCATGGAGTGCTCTTCTCTCCAGCCACCACCAGGAAAGCAAGCCAGGGCACAGGCACAGAGTTCAGTTATTGCTTGAGCCAGCTTCGGTGCTGCTCTTGCTCCCAGCACACGTGCTGAGTGACCAGGTTTCTTCCCCATTCCCTGTGAGGGCTTTTCTTGGTCCATTGCACATCTTGGGCAATGCGTACGGCTGCCTGCCTGCAGTCCCTCCTTCCCCACAGCTCCCATTTGCAAACGTGGAGTGCACAGTTCTGGCAAACAACTCTTTTGGCCTGCAAAGAAGGTGGGGGGGGTAGGAGAGGGCTTCTTCAAGGGAGGTTTCGTACGTAACCACAATTTGGGTCTGCTCCCCCAGCAGCACACTTTGGAGCCTCCCAGGTGACAAAAGGACCAGGATCATCTGGACAGCACAGCACCAGCTCTCCACTGCAAGCAATAAGGTAAGCAAAAAAGCTTGGCTCATTGGGGCATTGCTGAAGCAGGAGGCAAATGTGAAGCTGAAATGTTTGAGGTCTGGGTGAGCCGGTGCCTGGACCTGCTCTAACTGCGGCCCCACAGAAGCCCTCGTGCTCGCATCTTTGCCTCTCTGCTCTCTCTCCCCCACAGTAGAGCTGCCTTCGGTTTTGTTTCCTTGTCTGACTTGTTTCCTAATCTAGCTCCCATATGGTCAGTCCATATGCCAGCAGACTGACACTGCTCACCCAGGCAGGCACCTGCAGGACAGGTAGGAACAAGGAGAAAGTCAGGGAAACCTACCTCTTTGGCTGCAGTCATTGACTGTAACTCGGTACGTGTGCCTGTGCTTCTCCACACAACACCAAGGCATTGTTCCCAAGCACTGCTGGGTCCGGATACTGTGATGCCATAACCTGTTTCCTTGGGTGTACCTGTATTTTGGGCTACCTAGAAATACAGGACTGTCTTACCTGGTAAAGGCCATTGGGTCTCTGGAGAGAGCACTCTGCCTTTCAGGGGTGAAGCACTCGGCTCCTTCTGCCTGCAGGCACTTGCCAAGGGAAAAACCAAGGCAGGAACCTGCTCCTCTCTCCCCAGGTCCAGCCCTGGTCCAGTGGAACAGCACAGGGCCAGGCTCCCTCCCCTCCAGAGCCCACCCCCTGCTCTACCTCCACGTGCTCTGAAATGCTGCTTGCGTTGCTCCCAAGGTGTTTGGGATCAGCTCTCTATGGAAGATGCAGCTCTCTTCATGCTTGGGCTGGAACTGAGCAAAGTGCAGGAACAAAAAGCGCTTTAAAGCCACGTTTGCAGCAGGCTTGCCCCGAGCTGCACTTAGAGCAACCCCTGCCAGCACTCAGCGGTGCTCTGCCAGGGTTGGACCTCCAGCTACTCATTAATCACTGCACTCAGTTCAGATGGAGACACAAGGCACGGGGGAAGCGGGGTAAGTCCACAGCAAACCTACGTCTTGGGTGCAGACCAATGTCTTAGTGGCTGCTCTGCTGGAGCCCCCCCAGCCTGCAGGGAAAGGGAGCCCGCTCTGAGGGAAATGATTTAAAATGCCTTCAGATGCCTTTTCACTTCTTTTTATTTAATTCCATAAATATTTTCATAAGGCTCAGTGTCTTTACAACACTTCTTTAAACACTTTTTCTTTTGTTTTATACACACAACTTTGACACTTGTTTGACAGGGTCAAACAGTCCAATAGAAACAAAATAATAAAACTGGCAAGTGCGGATCAGCTGCGTTACCAAAATCCTTTTTTTTTTTTCTTTTTTTTTTTTTATATTTTTTGCTCTTACTGATAAAACCCCAAAAGCACTAAAATATCAGGTATTTGGCTTCAAACTAGAATTTTAAAAACCTTTTTTTTTTATATATATATTTTTTTTTGTGTTAAATTCTCTGCTACAAGTCCCTGTCGTCAATAGTGCCTTGAAACTCCTACAGCCTCTTCTGTTCTTCTTAAGGAAAAATAAGCTTGGTGATGCCATGCAGAACTTACAATAGCTACTAAATATACATGTTCCCTGAAATGTAGCTGCAATGAAAAGATGACAGAGCATAAAGAGAACAAAACCAGAAACCCAAAGCACCACAGTGTACTATCAATAACATTGCAGGGGACGGCCAGTGACCATCCAGAAACTGAAACAGATTTCAAATATATTTCTCTATGTATTATTTTCTATTTACAACTGATAGATGCACCTAGGTTGGTTCTTGTTTGAGCTTTTTGGAGAGGGTGGGGAGGCGGAAGGCTTGAATTTAGATCCTCTGTTCTATTGTCTAGGTCAAGGGGTAATGCATGTCATTTACCTAGGGAAGAGGGTATTTTTATTCTTTATATATATATATAGATTCAGCCAGAGAAATACCGTAAACATGTAAGTTTGTTACAACTCTCGTTTCTGCACATGGAATGGTAAGTGGGTTCCTCCTGTCTGGCATTGAAACGAAAGTCTCTATTGGATGCTCAGTCAAAATCACCCCAAATCTGCGTCTGCGCTGCTCCCTGGCACACGAGCAGCCCGACCCTGCTCCCTATGGGGAGGCCACAGCAGGCAGTGACAGTGGGACCCAGTGCTGGTTCTTCTTTGTGACAATGCTCCATCTCTTGCAGCACCGTGGCAATTTATGGAGGGGAAGAGCTTTCTTGCGCGCCATTGCCTGAGAGCCAAGCCCCTCTTCCCTCTGGAACAAAGGCCCGCATGTGCTTTGCCTGCCGCCGGCCTCGGCAAGCAGGAGCAATGCGAGTTTGGTTTGGCTTTCCAGTTAAGAAAGAAGCTGCGAGTCCAACAAGTGGCCTTGTCAGATCAAGCGAGTCTTGATTTATGATGCAAATAATGGTGTGGCGGTGGTGTTTCGTTTTTCCTAGTGCTGAATATTTAGGAAGCATCTTCTCATAAAAATTATGGATGTCTCATTCTCACTCTCTGAGGCACAAAACAGTAAATGAACAGGCTTAACTAATGTGCTTGTTACTTTTTTTTTTCCCCTAAGCAATTAAAAAGGCAAAAGGAATAAGTGAAATTTTCATCATGTTGACAACAGCTTGTAATCATCTCTCTCTTTCTCTCTCTGCGCATCTCTCCAGCCACTCAGAAAGAGTACACTTAACTCCTGAGAACCCACCTCATCCGTGCCTTTAAATACCCCTCCTCTCACTGAAACCAAGTAAGGTTTGCTACATATTCAATATCCAAACCTGGCCATCAAAATGCAGAGATACAAAAGAGCACAAAAATAACTTCTGATATAAAATTGGGTTGCTTCCTACTTGCGATTCCCTTCCCACTGGCACAGAGGGGCTGCTCTTCCTCTCCCAAACACTGACCTGCCTTTGCTGTTTCTCCAGAGTTTCTAGATGACTAAAAAATGCAAGAGAGGTTAGTTCTGTACTTAAAATAAACCCCATAGCCACTGCCTTGGAATATGCCCTGAAATAAAACAGGCTCCATGGAAATAATGAAATCACCTCTGCTCTTCCCATTCACTTGTACTAGGGGAGAAAAAACCTCTAGCTCCATGCATGGCCTGGGGTGCTTCTGTGGTGTATCAGGTTCAAAAGAAAACGGCACATTCTGTGATCAATCACTTCATCCCACATTACAAAGGAGCTTGCAGAACAGCTCTGCAAAGGTTTTTAGCTTCTTCTTCTAAATGTGGTTAAACAGATTCATTTGCCCTAGGTGAAAAAAATCATCCTAGTGCACAAGGATTTGTTGTACAAGCTTAAACACAAGCTCTGTGCTTGCAAACAAACGTACTTAAGGCTGAAATTGCAGGGAGTGTTTTTGAGACTAGAGCTGTGAACCTCCAGAGGGAGAAAAAGAGAGAAGGGGACCTGAAGAGTTCAGCTAATCCCTCCAGAGCCACCGACAGGGATACACCTCTGCTGAGCCACCGATGGGGTTAGATTGAACTGATCTCTGATTTAGATCAGGCCACGTAATCATGGGCATAGGCTAAACCTTGCTAATCTCCTCAGGTCACATCCATCTCTTTCCTGAAAGGCAGTTCTCAACTCGGCATCAGTAAATACTTCCAGTGACTTGGGCAACGATCCTTCCGCTACCAGGACACTGCTGGCAGCTCGGGGTTTAGGTCAGTGCCCAAGCGAAGCCAGGGATCTCGTATGCAACAGAGGGGAGCGGGCAATGAGTGCAGCCATAGTCCTCCTCACTGGTGGGATCACTGCTCCTGGAAATGGCAATCAGTGGTTTATTAATACTAATTAATGTGGGCGAGACTGTGGCCAACAGGATGGGACCTTAGTTCCTGAAGAAAGAAAGAAAACTGGCCATTTGCTGGAGCCCAATAGCCAATTTTCCTCAGCTGGATGGAGGGCGTGAAGCCATCAGTTGTTCAGCTTTTATCTTTGCAGGGAAAACAAAGATAGGAGTGGGCTTTTCAGAGTCGTGTCTCAGCTTAAAAAGAAAACAAATCAAACCCCACAGAAAGGAAGCTGAATGCAAAAGAAATCAATAAAAGCCCCTGATATTCTTTTCTCAGTCTTGCTCTGAGTGTGACCAGATCACACTGAATCGAGAAAAAGAGAGTGCTTAAAAAGAGTGCAAAAACTCACTGAGGAAAACCCATCTCTCGCTTCCTAAAGAGCTGAAACCCTTTCTGCTGGTTTTCACCTGCCACAACACAACAGTTAAAGCCAGAGAAATACTGCGCAGCAGAGCATGGTGCACAAGGGAGCACATCCAGACAGGCACGAGGCAGACCAGAGGATGCAGGACGGGACGGGGAGCGGGTCGATGCTCATCGCTGAAATGGCAACTCTGGGGACAGCCAAGGAAGGGACGGAGAGGGAGGGAGGGAGGGAGAGGGAGCGGAGACCTCCCGGCACTCCAAAAACCAAACAACCCCCCATAAATAAAATCAAATGAAATATACACCAATGTAGTCCATGAGGAACTTCCATGAGGAATTCACACAAGCGAGAAAGCATTCTGGGATGCCAGTGACGACTCGGATGGAAATGAAGAAGAGAAAAAGAAACAAAACGAAATCAGATGTCCAACCAATGGAGTAAAATAAAACAGGTCACATGGTCAGAAATCATTGGTGCTTCCTAGTTTCTAGTAGCAGATTGCTTCCCAAAAACAACAAAAAAAGTTTTTGGTCCTTCTATATATATACATATATGTATATATATTATTATTTTTAAAACGGGGGTACATATATATATATGTATATATATTTAGTTGCAACAGTGCTTCTCCGAAAAAAGGTCCATCTATAAATAAAATTTTATTTATTTTTATTTTTTAAGTTTTAGTTCTTTTAAATTAAAATTCTCCATCTCTCTAGGTATTATTTTTTGAATGGTGTTAACCTGCTGAAGTTTTGCCAGAACGGTGCCTGGCTGCGTCTGGGTTCGGTGAACTCGAAGACCTGGGACTGGGATATGCCATCTGTCACCATGTATTGTCCCTGATTTAATGGATCCTGGGGTGGTGGGTAGGCTGGAGGAACCGACTTGGAGTAGCTCACACCTGCATCGATGATTGGGGGGAAAAAGAAACAGATCAGTCAAAGTGCAATTGGGTCAGTAGTCTTTCTTCGTCATGCTATCGCTTCTTATCGCTTAATAACAGGGTCCCAAACACCAGGGAGACGTGCTAGAGACGGCAAACCTACAGAGGAAGGCAGCGGCTGCCTCAAGCTCAGCTCGGAGGTTTCCTACACTAGACCATGTGTTGAAGGCTTGGAAAAGGTCCGTTACTTTTGTATTTCTGCCCTCATGGAAAAGTCCTGTGTGACATAAGGAGGCCCAGACCCAGCCAGGCCACATGCAGCATCAGCCTGGTCAGACAGAGGCAGACAATCGCATCCTTCACCCCACTCACATCTAACACTGGCTGTGTCCAAGTGTGGCTTTACCCTCCCACCCCACTGTGCTTCCAGAGTGGTTCTGTCCCAACCAGTGACCCTCAGGAGCACTCAGCACTGGTTCCTGCTCCAGGATGGAGTGGAGCTGCTTTGGAGGAAGTACTGTCCTGCAGGGCCTGCGCTGCCCAGCGCTGTCTGCCTACACAAAGGGCAACTCGCTGCTTCCTGTAGGAGTTTGTAGGACTTTTCCATAGGGTTAGTTTTACATTTCCCAGTTTGGGTTCAGCCAGAGCTGGCTGCAACACAGAAAAGGCTGATTCTGCCCAATCCAAACTGGCAAGGCTACACTTCCAGGTTCTAGACACGCAATTCCCACATCCGTGCGGCACAGCTCCTGCACAGGAATGGGGAAAAGGGGAGCTTCAGCAAGCTGGGACCTACACACCCTGCTGTAAAGGATGGTGTAGAAAGGGTGGCTCTGGGTGAATGAAGTGGAGCAGAAGGGGTGAATGTCACCACCAGTGCAGACTACAGCATTACAGCTACTTCTGTATTCCCTTCCCACACACCACTGATGAGGGAGAATCCCTCCTTCAGCCTCAGGGCAGCATGATGGGCTGGAACCACAACTCCAGAGAAGGGCAGGAAGGAGGGAGGAGCAGGGCTCTGGAGCAGTTGCTGTAAGCTCTGGCCATCTCTGGATCCCCTCTGCCGCACGCAGAACTGCTCTTCCTTCTGCAGGGAGGGCAGCCCCAGCGGCGTGGCGGGTGGAGGCTTCCCAGGGCCATCGCCAGGCCATGGCCTCCCCTGGCTTTAGCCCCCGAGCAGATCAGTGTCCTCGTCTGGAAAGCGGGATGGCATCACCCACCTACCTCACACGAGGCTTGTGAAGCTAAATTAATTAATGATTGTAAAACACTTTGAGATCCTCGGCTGGGAAGGTGCTAGAGAAGGCAAAATACGGTGATTAGCACCCAGGTACCACAGCAACATGTGTCAAAGAAATGTGACTCTTTGCATTCAGTTCATGGTTCCTGCCCACACACAGACACATGCTTCATGGGACCAGCCCGGCACGGGGAGGCTGCACACAGTCGGATACTTACAGACAAGGGAAAAAGCCTCACAAAGGGCACTCATAGAGCTCACTGGACAACTTCTATAGCTTATTGCATTCTAATTCAGGATCTCTTTTGCATATGAAGCTGAGGCTTTAGTATGGGTATAGGAAAGAGGATGAATTCGCTTCTCCTGCTATAGGATTTAGCAGTCAGGGGTTAAGTCCTCAGAGCTTCAGGCCAAATGGAGACACCATCTTGACTATGCCTAACTGATTTCTCCTTCACAGCAAATACCATCAAATCATGCAGCTCTGTCCACTGCAGGGAGCAGCCAAGACCTTCCCTTACACTGGACAGCAACAGTTCCATGATTCATACCTATCAACCTTTAACAAACTCACCACAGGTAGTACTTCAAACTCATTTGACAAGCACAACCTGGAGATGTTCTGTGGTTGTGTCTGCACGCTGCAGTAGGGTTACTGATCAACAGGCTTTCCCCTCTGTCTTTCCCAAGCTCCTCTCTCCCACAGGAAGCCTGCAGAGCAGAATGTGCCCCAGAGCCCTTGTGTCAAATGTGGACAGGGTCAGTTCTAGGATACCTGACACAGCTTCTATAGCAGCCTCGCTGACAGGCCCCAGCTGTCACTTTGTGACTTAAGCCAGCGACATTCCATAAGGGCAGAGCATGGGCTTGAGCTCATCCCTGCCCTACCACTTCCATCCCTTCTTCTACCACTGTCATACTCCAGGGCACCTTGCTGGAAGGCAGGTCAGCGTGTGGGCAGAGTCTGTTCTGGAGGGCGGACTCCAGCCCTGAACCTGTACAAGAGCACACAGATTCTCCTGGAGGCCACCAGCCTTTAGTGCCTTGGCCACTTTTCCCAGCAGAGACTGGTGAGGAACTTTAGGATCTATAGGAATTACTTCAAAGGCAATAGTAAGTCCTTGTGCCACCAAGATTACTAACCACACATGACTACTAACCACAGAAGAGCTGTGAATCTAAAGCTGCTGCTAAGGGACACAGGGCAATTGTTCCTAGCTTTGGAGGACTAAACCCACACTGCTTTAATGACACAGCCCAAAGTCTTTTGCATCCTGTGGCTGCAGAGTAGCCACCAACCTTGTGATGCACCAGTCGAGCTCTTTACTGTCTCTAAAGCAATTTGTGGAGGTGAACTGATGTATTCTAACCACGATGCAGAAATGCTAATAAATCTGGATCAGCAAAAAGTTATGCATTTGGAAACCTAAAGAAGTAGAGAAAGGACAGTCTGGCTAAGGTCCACTGCCACTGAAGAGAACGCAATCCACAGCCTGTCTTCTCCAAAAGAGAACAAGGCAGACTCCCCTGGCCAGATCACCAGCAACCCCTCCTGTTCTCTCCCAAAACAGCCTTTTTGGTCCAGGCTCCTAAAGAAATGTCTGCTCACTGGGCCATTGGCATTAACATCTGAGCTGGACCCACGTCCCGAGCTCCTGCCTGGTTCTACACGAGCAAGTAGCTGAAGGTTTGTGCATATTTATCATATCCATCCCATTTGTCAAGTGCCTCCCTGGCCTCAGAGACCCAAACCGTGGTTCCCAGTGGTGTGCAATGACCAGGTGCTTGTGGGCATGCAGAGAGGTACGTTTGTGCTCTGGCAAGTAAGGCTGAGAATTCCATAGGATACGTCTTCCTGTGAAACTGGGCTACAGCACTTAGTAATAGCTTCAGGTGCCCCAAGAATGGCTTTTTTGGGGGAACATACCCACATTCTAGACAAGGTGCAACACAGGAATGGGGTGGGGGGGGATTCTCCTAATCCACACATCTTCAAATCCCAAGAAACAGCAATTCTGGGAAGAAGCATGGCAGGTATTTTGCTGTTCTGCTCTGGAGCCTTTTGCTCCCTCATCAGAACTCAGGGCTGTGGTGCAAAGCTGTCTCTCGAGGGACTAGTTTTAATATGCAAAGCCATAACTCCAGGGAAATTCCAGCAAAGCTCTTTTCCAATGCTGCTGTGGGCTGCTTGGGGAACAGCATTCAAAGTGCCAAGGGGAAGGATCAATAGAGAAGCAGTGATTTCTAGGCACGGCTGCCACTGCCTTCCCAAGGCCTCAGAAAGACCAGCCTTGGAGCTCCTTCTGCTGGCTCCTGCCTAACTCTGCACTGCCAGATCCTTCAGCAGGGTGGGGCTGTGGAAATGCTCATGATGAGAACAAGAAAACTCCAGGGTTTATAATTTGGTGCGACAGGAGTGAGAGATGCTGCGCTGTCAGTTCAGTCACTGCGGCTTTTAGCACTGGGCAACGTCACCAGAAACCTTCCGGATCTCTCAGCTCGGAGGAAAACAATTAATAGGATTTAAAACTGTTCTTTTTCCCCTTCCAGGTTTTTGATCTGAGGTTATCACATGACTCCAGTAGCACTGGGAGCTTTGGGAGCACGCTATGAGCACACAGGCAGTCCACATGGACACGTGCAGACAGACCCAGGCAGGACACAGCGGGACACACGGTAACACTGCACCTTTCCAGGGTCACTATACAACATAGAACACACTCAGAGTTCCCTATATATAACCACAGGAACTCCCCTTACAACCTGTTTACCCTCAACCTTTAAGACTTTAGCTTATACTTGATCAGGAGCTATTTATTTCATAGGCTTTTCTTCCACCGAGCTGTCTAGATACCAGTGCTGTCATTAGCCAGAGCTGAGTGGGAGACAATTGGATCTCAACACCTGCTTTCTCTGGAGGTGCTGGTAGGAAGGGAAGCAGCACTGTGCTCTGAGCCTCCACCTGCCTCTGAGCCCAACAGCACCTAAGACAACTGACATCCTTCAGGAGCCATGCTCAGAAATCCCTTAAATCCCATTTCCTCCTGAATATCCCAACCCATACACAATACGGGGTAGCCGGGACCGTTCCTCAAGGACACTAATTGTTGTACTCGGCAATAGCAACAAGTTTCAGTTACGGAAATCAGCAGTAATGACTGAGCGGGTACAGCCCTTTGCCCTTCTTCAGCACATTTCAACAGAGGATCTCAAAGCACCTCACCGCTGGTCACTGGGTTGCTGCTCTGTTTCCAGGTAGCAAACTGTGCTGGCTCTGATCTTAGTTCTGCTCCCTGACTGCAGGCCTTGCTTGTGCAGCACGAGGTGGGGCGGCAGCGGGTGGACAGGAGACAGCTTGAGAAACGCAGCACAGGAGAACGACTGATCTTGTGTCCTGGCTCCTCCACAGCCAGGTACAGGAGCCGCAAACACTGAGGTAACTCGACCTTCCTGAGCCTATTTATCAAGTCTGTTCCTGCAGCCTGATGTCATTAGCCTAGACACTGAGATAATGATCCCTCCTGTGATAAGCAAAAGCTAAGCGAGGCAAGATGAATAAATGATACCAGGGCCTTATCAATCACAGCCAGGTGAGAACTAATGTATCCCATATCCTCCAGCACCATGCGCTGACAGCAGAGATCATGCTGTGCTGGTTCCACAGACAGAAGAGATCAGTTCATCCATGGTTGCCCTGGGATGCAGCCCCTCACCTCAAGCAGCACCCCAGGATAGAAGTGCAGGAGGACCTGGGCTGACAAACTTGGCTCTTCCAATGAGGGCCAGTGGAAAACCCAGGAAGCCCATTTCACATCCTGTCAACAAACTCTCTCAGTGCCCCTTGCCCAGTCACTGGTACCATCCTTGGGGGTCTCCCAAACAAGAACTTATGATTTGCCCTAGCCTGTAGTGTGTCTGACTGGATCCCAAATGATACTACAGGCTCCAGCTGGGCTACTGATGCCTTGAGTGAGAAGCCATCTACCTATGAGATACCACCAGTGAGACTAGTGCCTGTGGGCCCAAAGCTTTCACCTGCACTGCTCTGGGTCAAAGGGAAGTGACCCAGATTATCTGAACATGCAACTGCCCCCCCGTTTTAAAGTGGTTAGTTCCTGTGTTGCTCAGTCTCTTTCAATCTCCACGAGGCTATGCCTACATGTGGGAATGGGACGGGGAAACTGTCAGAGCCACATCAGTCTGTTTAGCAAGGAAGATGCAATAAATAGGCTTCAGCACTCAGAACCACGGGAGGCACCTACACACTCCATTTACCTGCTAAGACTTGCCCTGGCCAGCTGGCTGGAGCCAGCACAAGTACACTAACACTCATCTCATTGGCCTCTGCAGCCTTGCTGGGGCAGAGCTTGCAGTGCAGAGCGTGAGAAGTCAGAGAAAAGCTGCTGGGTGTTTGGGTCAGGGCTTTATGACAGCTCACTGTGAGCTCAAGTGATCAGAAAGGAAGAAATCAGCAGGAAAATGCAGTGATTCAGAGGGTGGTTTACTGCAGGCCAAAGCATTTGTGCTGGCTGATGAGTTAACCCCTGCTGGGGTTGCATAGCTGACTGTTCACAGGCAGATTTAAGGACAGCAAACCTCTAAGCGGAGGGCTGGGGGTGATGGTGAATGAATGTGTGAGTCCCAGACCACGAGGCTAAAGACTCGTCTGGGCCGAGGGCACCCGCTTTGGTAAAGCTATGGCACAGTGCACAGGAGAAGAGAGAAGGCAAGAAGGAGCTGGCTCATGGTGAGGGGCTGGAGAGCTCTCCTGGGGTGGGGAACCCTGCCACCTACCACTGGGGTCACTTCTGTATGTTTGCCAAGAGGAAATGTTAGTGAGAAACCGTGCTTTCAGAACAGGGTCTGCTTCCTGGCACTGGAGCCTCCACCCCCTGACACCCCTGGCTGTCACTTACAGGGGCTCTGGGGTTACTGCTGCTTCTGCAAGTCAAGACAAATAACATTCCTCTGTTTCTTTCCTCTCTCTAGGAGACACCACACTGAGTTCTGTTCTGTTACCACACCGACACTGAGAGGAGCTCAAGGGCAGTAACCGAGAGGCAACATCCGGAGCAATCAGTGCGGAAAGAAAACACCCACAACCACCAGCCCCTGTCTCTATCTGCTGGTGAGGTGCAGAGCCAGCACTACCCCTTCACTTTATATCTAATGGACTTAAAGCCAAAAATTGGTTTAATGCTGTCTTAAGGCACCTGCTCTAACATCATTACATTTTGCCCAATCCAATAAGGAGTGCAAACCCTTCTGTAGTGCTGAAACTTCACCTTGTGCATCATTATATTGCTCTGGAGGAGAGTCTGGTGATGCACAGACCTGAGCATGAGGAGAGGCTGCCTGTGCCCCACCGAGGACCCTCTAGACCTAGTCTAGCAGAAGGTGTCCCTGCCCAGGGCAGAGGTTTGGAACAGGATGAGCTTTAAGGTCCCTTCCAGCCCAAACCTGTCTGGGATTCTATGATTTGGGATCAAAACTTCTCAACTCACTGAGAGCTGTGCGCCCTCGTAACCACCTGGATAGTTCCCATGATTTACAGAGCAGAGTTCTAAGGTTTCTTCCCTGCTATCAGCTGATCTCTCCCCTCTCCCTCGCCTGATGCAGCTCTGGTAGTTCACTCACTTCCTTTCCAAGCACACACCAGGCAGCTCCTGAGCGATCCTTCTGGGAGCTGTGGTACAGCAGCACATGAAACCAGCAGCAGTTTATACTATTCGAAAACTGTTTTTCTGCTTCACCTCCAACAAAGTTGATTGCATTTTCCGTTTCACCTCCTTCACAGCTTTTCTCTCCTCCTTAAGTACTCTGTGACAGGGAAATTACCATGGCTTCCCATATAAGAGGTGGAGGGAACAACTGAGATAATGTAAAAACAAGGCTGTAACAGGGATCCCTGGACACGGAGCAGGGCTCTCACCACGTCAGGTTGAGCCATTGAGCTGTCAAGCCCTGCTGTAGCCAGAGACCCTCCTGCAAAGTCCATGAATCTAAATGAATAAATAGTTCCACTGAACACAGAGGGAGTATCTCTACTCTGAAGTGGCTTTACTGCTCTCCAGGTATAACTGATGCTCCAAAACCAACTTAAAGCCCCTTCCAACACTACTGTCCTGCTCCTGGAGACTGTGTGGCAAGCGCAAAGGCAGCAACCTCCTGGAACAGGGTCAGCCATCATCCTGCTCCCACCCCACAGCTGCACCTCAGCCTCAGCAGCAACCCCAAGAGCCTGCCAAGATCCTCGGCAAGAAGCTGCTGGCAGTGCAAGTAACATGGATGGTGAGATTCAAACCTCAGTCACTAAAAGCCAACTCTGAGGAATTTCCTCCTACCTCCCTCTTCTCCCTTGCTCCACAGCCTCGTGCCTCAATCTGGGTCTGGGTTCAAGACAAACCACAGAGTAAGAAAACTGAGTTTTCAGCAACACATTCAGTACCTGTACTTTAATTAATGTATGGCCAGGCCATGATCACCACAGTGTAGGACAACAGAGCTGCTAATTTAATCACCCTATTTGTTGGTTTTCAGATTTCACATTGTACTAAAGCCCACCCGGTTTCCCTTCCCTCGGTGCTTGGGCTCTGACTGAACTTGTCTGACTTGAGGTTTTAATCTCATGAAAAGAACTGCCAGTGTTACAGCACAAGCTTGTTCTTCATAAAGGAAATGCTGACTGATGTTATAGGAGCTAATTAATTTTATAGCTAGAGAAGTCTGTAACAGCCCCTCCTTTTCATCTCAGAGAGAAAGAGAGAGAAAGAGAGAAAACAAGAGAGCAATTGCTGTGCAAGACATAAGTACAGTTGGGCATACTGTGCTTGTCAGGATGCAAGTCCAGTGATTGAAGTGGGAATACTGGTAGGCATGCTCAGGCACCTCTGAACCGTGTCCCTTAATGACTGAACAGTACAATTATTAATTAATGCCTTAATAGTATACTTAATTGACAGCAAATAATAATGTAATCTGGTTTCGGCACCATGCACATCACACTCTCTGTTTTCCAGCTGTGACCATCCCCGTGGCTGCCGCCGTGCTGAGGGATGAGCACACCAGTGGTGAGGGGTGAACCTGCAAACCCAAGTTCGTACCCACGCCTTCTCCAGCCCCGGGTCCCTGAGCACTGCCTGACACTGCCCCTGTGCCCGTCTGCACGCTCTGAGCTCAGGGAGTCTGGCCAGGAGGGTTTCCAGAGGACACCTCAGAACACAACACAGGAAGTCAGTAGAGAGGAGAAGACTCATGACAATGGAGAGACACAGCAAACCAAGGAGGTCACAGTTGGCCTAGCAAACCACTACTGGATCAGCAAAGCCAGTAGACAACAACAAGGCAAGGCAGAAAGCAAAGAGCTCCTTCAACTCCTGCAAAAACCAACCCACTGCCTGGACAGAGCAGGGACAACTCTGCCTGGAACTGCCTATAGCCAAGAAGCGATGAGCTGGCTCAAAACCCATTTGCAGGCCTAGGTGTGCCACGAGACTTTGGTAACGAACTGATGTGTCTACAACTTTGTGAAGCTTTGGACAACCTGAAAAATGACCCCCCTGACTTCCCCTCTGTATTTAGCATTCCAAACCCTGTAGCTGCAAGTCATTGTCAGAGATCATGAACACTGGCTGTTTCACCGGTTGAGACTCTGTGTGGTATCCAACATGCCATTTATTAGTTGGCTGTAGCCTGCCTGGGTGGGAAGGTGAATCTGACATTAAAGGGATCAAGCCTTTACTGAGAAACTTTATTTCCTAGAGCTGATGCTATTGTGCTGTTCTTCAAAAGTTACAGGTAGCCCCAGGAAACATGAGTTTCCCCTTCCAAAAGCAGGACAGGGGTAGATCCCTCACCTTCTCCAGTGTTTTAGCCATCCTTCTTTCCCTGCTAATGGGAGGCTTTGGGAATTAGCAGAACCCCTACACATCTCCACACTCATTCCCATTGCAGCCTGAGAGAAACAACCGAGAGAGATTTCTGCCCCCAGGGACAGCTTCTGGACAGCAGACTGGAGACACAAGATCAAATTCATCTCTGGTGCAATCCCACTGGCTTCAGCCACCTCAGACCAGAGATGAATTTGGTCCACAGATACATTAAGAAAGGATACAAAGCACAAACGGTGTTTGATATATAAAAAGAGAGAACGGGGAGGGGGAAGTTCAGGGGGACGCTGGCTCCTAACCCAGCAGGACTCAGCCCAGCCCGCTCCACCCTCACATCACCAGGCAGGGTGCGTGTTGCCGGTTACCTTTTTGCTTACTGACTTTCTTTACTGTCATTGCCGCTTGCCGCTTTTGATTCTCAGAAATCTCAAAGCCTGGAAGAGGGAACACGGCAAACACAATTCAGAAGGTTGCTCATAAAGCCCCTGTCCTTTGGGGAGGGGAGGAAAGGATCTGCACTCTTTGGCAAACACACAATGCCCAGGGAGGCCAAGCAGCCCCCCCAGAGCTGTGTGCATGGGGAGGTATTTGAACAGCAAATCTTCCTTGCAGGGACAGGCCTCTTTCTAACCTCACTTGTGCAGGGGCTGTGTGAAAAGTAAGATGAGACCCATTATTATTTATGAAGTATCATAAATAGGCCGAGTGCTTTACAGCTGAGCAGCACAAACGGATCCTGACCTGACTCTGGTTACAGTCAACTCATGGGCTGATGCTGAGGGAAGGACATGGCTGGTACGCCACTGATATCACCACCCTCCTACTCTGTGTGAGATATGCTTAACAAAAGCAGAATTGATGCAGCCAGGAGACTCTACGGTCAGATGGCCACAGACTTCCTCCTCCCAAACTGCCCACAGTAGTCCAGGCTTGAAGCTATGGGTATTATTGAGGGCCAAAACTAACTGGAAAGAGACCTACTGATGACTGTGAGCGCAACCAAGGACATCTGAACAAGGCTGGACTGTAACTCTAGTACCAAAAATTGGGCTTCTCCAACAGCTGGGGCTCAACTAAGCAATACCAACAATCTCCTTTCAGATTCATTTTATATTCCTCACCTATCTTTTCATCTTCTTTTACCATCTTCCTTTCTTCTCTGAAAGCTCTAATCCATCGTAACTTATCCTCCAGTTTCTTGGTAAAGAATAAGTGCATTTCCTCAGTCTCCTTGTTATGAAGCTTGAAGGCATTCTTCATGCTGACATTGAAGTCATCATCTCTCCCATCTTCTGTATCCACCACTTCATATTTATCCAAGTCTATGCGACCTTTGTAATACAGAATATCTCTTCTTATCAGATCCTACAGAGAGAAAAGGAGAGATGGTTGATCATAAAATACTTACAGAGCTTGAACTCAGCAGGGAATCCATGGCAAAACCTGGTCAGATTCTTCAAGCCTCATCTGCTGTGATGACATTTCTTGCTGGCTAAACAAACAGGGTAGATTATGGGCACAGAGGAACAAAATACAAATCCTCATGCTTCAGTTTTTGCTCACAGGCATAGAATCATAGAATCACAGAATAGTTAGGGTTGGAAAGGACCTTAAGATCATCCAGTTCCAATCCTCCTGCCATGGGCAGGGACACCTCGCACTAAACCGTATCACTCAAGGCTCTGTCCAGCCTGGCCTTGAACACCACCAGGGATGGAGCATTCACAACCTCCTTGGGCAACCCATTCCAGTGCCTCACCACTCTCACAGTAAAGAACTTCTTCCTTATATCCAATCTAAACTTCCCCTGTTTCAGTTTTAACCCATTCCCCCTTTTCCTGTCACTACAGTCCCTAATGAAGAGTCCATCCCCAGCATCCCTATAGGCCCCCTTCAGATACTGGAAGGCTGCTATGAGGTCTCCACGCAGCCTTCTCTTCTCCAGGCTGAACAGCCCCAACTTTCTCAGCCTGTCTCCATACAGGAGGTGCTCCAGCCCCTGATCATCCTCGTGGCCTCCTCTGGACTTGTCCCAACAGTTCCATGTCCTTTTTATGTTGAGGACACCAGAACTGCACACAATGCTCCAGGGGAGGTCTCACAAGAGCAGAGTAGAGGAGCAGGATCACCTCCTTCGACCTGCTGGTCACGCTCCTTTTGATGCAGCCCAGGATACGGTTGCTTTCTGGGCTGCGAGCGCACACTGAAGCCGGCTCATGTTCATTTTCTCATTGACCAACACCCCCAAGTCCTTCTCTGCATGCCTTTGAGCAGGTAAGGTCCTTCCATCATATTCCACAATGGGAAGTCTTATTTCATAGGATGAGCCACCAGGAAGTACAGGACCTGATGGGGTTCCTGTGCTGCAAACCAGATTGAGGAGAAGCAGAGATGCTGAGGAACCAACCGGGGTCTGTTTTGGCAGAGTGAGCAGTGACCATCTCTGTTTTCCAACCACATTCTCACAGAGTCAGGTCCCTTCCCCTTGGAACCATTCCCCATTCATACCCAACTCACTGGCAAGCAAATCACCCTGATTCTCAGCTCAAAGAGCCCCCAGCCTGTCTCTGTCCTGTTACTCCTGGCTTTAACCTCTTGTTCCAGCTTACATTTTTACTTTTCCCCCTCTTGATGTTCACAACCTTTACAACCAAACCCCCTCAACCCCATCTCCTCCCCCATTTGACTATTGCTACCATACTGGTGTAGGAGGAGTCCTGGCCCCTGTAAAGACCCCTGTGTCTTTATAGGAACAGCTAACAGAAAGCAATCATCAGAAACAGAACACTAACAGCACAGGATGGCCACAGAAGATGCTCCAAGTTACAAGGCATACACAGATTTAAAAAGCCAAGTTTAGCAACACACCATCAGGATTTCCTTGCCCTGCCCACTCTCAAAAGCAAATATTCAGGGTTATTACATTAGTTAGATACCTTTTTATTTTTGAGGGTGCCCTGAAGGTAAACGCCAGGTCAAAGATTTAATTTAAGGGGAAACATAAAGATCAATGTATAGTCTTTATTTACTCAAGTAAGACGCAGCAGTGAGGTTTTCTAAAGCCAAGCTGCAGGTATTGGTTTAAACCAATCATTAAGCTTGCAAAATAAATGGTACATCATCATTTTTTAGCCAAGTAGCTCATGGATCTGCCAGAGAACATGAACCATCACGAGACGGGCTCTGGGCAGGGGCCTGGAGCCTCTAAAACTGCTCTGCCCACTGCTGCTCACCCCCAGACAACCCCCAACCACGCTGTGGGGTGAGCAGCATATGTCTGCACATGGGGACACCCACTGTCCCCTGGCCTCCAGACAGTTCAGTCCATGTTACAGACACATAACTGTACCTGGGCCATGTCCTTCTTAGTGACCTCAGCATCTCCTACTCCCACTATTCCCTTCTTCCCTACTGTGCAATGAATGGATATTATTTCCCAACTTTTTGGCACCCATAGTATGGGAAGCATAATAAGTATTTGATTTGTGAGTATTTTATCACTTACATTCCAACATCTCTTAAAAAGTAACATTATTACATTTATATACTCACACATTACAAGGCCAGGTCGGATGAGGCTTGGAGCAACCTGGTCTAGTGGAAGGTGTCCTTGCCTGTGGCAGGGGCTGGAACTGGATGAGCTTTAAGGTCCTTCCCAACCCAAACCATTCCATGATTCTATGATTCTACTTAGCTCCTCAGCAAAGCATCTTCAAATGCACTTGGCTTTCAGTAACATTTAGGAATTCATTTGGGCTGCATGAGAGGTACACAGCAAACAAGGCCTGCTGCTGCTCCTGGTTATCCCAGGGATGATGTACAAGAGAATGAGGAAGAAGTTACTAAGCTATAGAATTCACCTTCCTTTATATACCGGCTCTGTTAGTACAGCATTATATCTGACCCTGCTAAGCCAGGCTGATGAGTGGCTGGTTTACACTGGCCAGTTGTAGCTGTCACACAACACTAATTACAGTAGTTAAAGCAGGTAAGAGCAAGAAGATGTAAAAAGACAAAAAAAGACGTTCCAAACCTGCTCAGTGGGGAAAGGCCAAAGAAATTGAGTTGTTTAATCTAGAAAGGCCATAAATAAAAGGAATGTGTTATTGATATTCCAATATGTGAAAGCTGCTTCTCTTCTACAGAGGCTGGTGATCGATTATTCCCTGTTTTGATTGTGGCTTGGCTTAATTTACCACAAGGGAGAAGAGAATGAGATACCTGGAAAAAGATGTTTCAAGCTGTAAGAGTCTTTCTGCACCAGAACAGGCAAAACAGAGCAGCCCTGGGCTGGCATTCCAAGCAGACTGTCAAACATGAGGTTAGACAAACATCCATCGGAGATGATCCAAGTGTACTTAACCCTGCAAAGGGAATGGCTGATCTCCTGGGGCCTTCCCAGTGCTGTGTCTTGGTGATGCCTCTGGCAAAGGTGACAGATGGAGCAGACCATGGGGTGAGAGCAGGTGGGGTTGGATGGACCTGGGGATGCAGCCGTGAGGCGCAGAGCAGGACACGAGGAGCAGTGACACAGACCTGCAGCCTCTGCAGGCAGCATCCACAGGAAGGAAATGGATGCATCTGGGTCATCTGCACTGATCTGTCTAAACAGGATCTTCTTTTCCCCTACAGCTTCTGTGAGTTCCTTTTCTCTCCCTAGCTGAGGTTAATTAAGCTCTTGTGAACAATGCTCTGCAGTCTGCTCACGTAATAGGTACGAAGGGTTCATAAGGAAAAGATGAAGCCAAATTTGATGGGAGCACAGAACAAAGTTTGACACATTATATAAACCTACCACACTGCTCCCTGCACACGCTGGGGGCTTGCAGCTGAAGTGCCTGTGCTCAGGGGATGGGCCTGCCTGTATGGCCTGCTCAGGGTATTTACTGCTCTCACTCCAGCTTAACAACCCCCATTTCATTGTCCCTTCTCTGAAGGGCAGAGCAGGGGGGAGCCCTTTTCTAGCTGTTCTTAGAAGAAAGAAATCCCCTTTGTGCCCATTTCAAGGAAACCAAGGCTGAACTTCCATTGGGAAAGCTGAAGCTGGGTGTGCCTTCCACAATAAATTATGCACCTACCCCCAAATTATTGCAGTGGGTATTGATATCTGTAGGAAGGATTACCTTGTAAATCAGGCTGTTCAATTAAATTGACTTGGACTTGGCTTCAGCACTGCTTTCTCCTCCTGCTCTCTAGCTTTAATCAATCCCTTCTTTCTGCCACAAGCACCTCTTTGCAGGCTGTGGTTATGTGAGCCCCTGTAAGAGTCAAACCCTCCCGTGATGCTGCAGAGGTAATTAGATACTAACCACAAGGCCAGCAATGTGACTGCACAGCTAACTGCTAGTGCAAAATGGCAGTAGAATTAAAAGCTATTGAATGGCTTACACAGCACACGAGGAGGGAATTTCACCTCCATCGGGGCACAGGTAAGTTCTTGAGAGGATGAGGTCCCAGGTAGTTTGCTCCCATTAGCTTTGTGTGCAGCCATCGTCACCCATTTCAGAAACTCCTCCTATTTATTCCTGGGGGTGATGTGTGAGGATGGATGGGGAAGCCTTATCCAAGAGCTCTGGTTTTAGGATGGCATGTTTTTGCAAGAGCTGTGGTTTACTCTGTCGTGGGTCACACACTGCTTCTCATGCATAAAACAAACCATCTGTAAAACACAAGTGGAGAAAGCAGTTTCCAGCCATGAGTCACCAGATCCCTCTTATGAGCTGACAATACAAGAGATGCCAACCACAGAATGTCCTGACACAAGCTCTTCATTGCATGTGTAGGCTTTTGGTCCTGGTTATCAAAATCCTGCACGTTCCCATGGCAGACCAGTTTCAGAGTGACTTGGGGGGGAATTCCACACTGGAGTCCCTAGGTCCTGGGCTCTGCAGTGCAGCTCCTGAGGTTGGCTGGGACTGGCTGCAGGTCTCTGGGTGACAGGGAATTTCCCCCTCAGTTCCTCCCCATCTCTGTAATGGGATAATGATGCTGGTTAATTTTACAATGCAGCTCGGAGCTGCAAATAAGTCCTCAGTGAAAGACCCACTGGAAGCCTTTGGTGCACAAGAGCATCAGATTCAGAGCCTGCATTTCTGATACCAGAAATAAACCTAAGCCCTGCTGTGGTTGGATGGCACTAACTGAGCTCTGCTATCACTGCTGGACACAGCAGTTTGGGATGAGTCTGCCTTTAGGAGCAGGGAAATGGGATGAGGGATGGATCCTATTAGATCGGGGCATGTAGCAACATCTCTGACACCACCTCAGCCACTCGCTTCCTACCACAAGCTTCCTAGGATAGGCCACATTGGTACAAGATCTCCAGGGCTGTGATGGGGCGAGGGGAGCTGAAACCTCTGTGACAG